TGTCACAGTACCCTCCTGTCACCACGTCTCAATGTCTCCCTGACCCGACCCCCAATCGTCCAGTGTTCCAATTCCCTCGTCCCCCCCCCCCCCGTGCCCCCCCCCGTGCCCCCCGTGCCCCCCCCATACCAGGCCGTGCCCCCCCCCGTGCCCCCCCCCGTGCCCCCCCCCCGTGCCCCCCCCCCGTGCCCCCCCCCCCCGTGCCCCCCCCGTGCTCCCCCCATACCAGGCCGTGGCCCCCCGCGCGACCTCTCCCCGCCACCCGCAGCTGAACTCGCGCGTCCCAGGAGGCGGCTCTGAGCGCGCTGCGCGACCACGCGGCCCCGCGCCCGTGGCGCAGGGAGGGGGCCACGCGCAGCAGCTCGGGTCCCGGGATCGCGCCTGCGCACAGGGCAGGCAACCGGGGGAAACCGGGGGTAACCAGGGGCAACCGGGGGAAACCGGGGGGTAACCAGGGGCAACCGGGGGAAACCGAGGGTAACCAGGGGCAACCGGGGACAACCAGGGGTAATCAGGGGCAACCAAACTCAAAAAAGAAACTTCATTAGGTCGGTGCGACGCGGGGTCTAAAGGGGTCGCGTTATCTGGAGTCCCCGGGCGGGATGGACCCCGCTCCGGACCCCGCACCCCGCACGCTGCTGCTGCTGCTGCTGCCGCGTTCCCACGGCCCCCCCCCCCCCCCCCCCCCGGGCCCCCAGCAGCGCGAGGCGTGGGATCGCGAACAGCGCCACCAGATGGCTCCCGACTCTCCCCTCGCGCTCCCCGTCTCTCCCACTCGCGACTCGCGACTTCTCACTCTCGCTGCGTCAAACTCTCTGCCCAAACGCTCTCCCAAGCTCCCTCCCTCTCTCTACTCGACCCCCCCCCAACTCTCTCATCTCGACATCTCACTCCATCACTCTCCTCTCTCCCTACCTCTCCATCACTCTCCTCTTCCTCTCTCCGCGCATGCGTTGAGGCCGCCTAAGGTCAACACCACAAACCCCGACCCTGACCGCAACCCCTGAACTTGACCCCGACCCTCACCTCATCGTGACGATGAAGATCCCTGCCTCTACCACGATCATAACCCCGAACCATGACCATCACGTCTCGCTGCGATGATTGTAGCATATGGCAGCACACGCACATGGCGTGTGAACCCGGACAGGTGGGACACACACCAGGTGGGACACACGGACCAAGTGAGACACACGGACCAGGTGGGACACAGGGACCAGGTGAGACACACGGACCAGGTTGGACACAGGGACCAGGTGGGACACACGGACCAGGTGAAACACAGGGACCAGGTGAGACACACAGACCAGGTTGGACACAGGGACCAGGTGAGACACACGGACCAGGTGAGACACACGGACCAGGTGGGACACAGGGACCAGGTGGGACACACGGACCAGGTGAAACACAGGGACCAGGTGAGACACACAGACCAGGTTGGACACAGGGACCAGGTGAGACACACGGACCAGGTGAGACACAGGGACCAGGTGAGACACACGGACCAGGTTGGACACAGGGACCAGGTGAGACACACGGACCAGGTGATACACAGGGACCAGGTGAGACACACGGACCAGGTGAGACACAGGGACCAGGTGAGACACACGGACCAGGTGAGACACACGGACCAGGTGAGACACACGGACCAGGTGAGACACACGGACCAGGTGAGACACAGGGACCAGGTGAGACACACGGACCAGGTGAGACACAGGGACCAGGTGGGACACAGGGACAGGTGAAACACACACACAGGTGGGACACACGCACTAAGTGAGACACACACCAGGTGAGACACACGGACCAGGTGAGACACACGGACCAGGTGCGACACAGGGACAGGTGAGACACACGGACCAGGTGGGACACAGGGACAGGTGAGACACAGGGACCAGGTGGGACACACGCACTAAGTGAGACACACGGACCAGGTGAGACACACGGACCAGGTGGGACACACGCACTGAGACACACACACGTGTGATATTCGCGCCACCAGTCACCACCCGGCGGCGTGGAGACGCCGCGGGCGCCGGCCCCTCGACTCACTGCCCACGTGGCTCCAGAAGGGCACCGCGCCGTCCGCGAGCACCAGGTGGGGGCCCTTGAAGCTCAGCTTGTACTCGAAGCGGAGCCGCGGCTCCCGAGCGCGGACTCCGAGCCCCGCGAAGACGCCGAGGACGCCGAGGAGGGGCAGGACGAGGGCGAGGCGAGGAGACATCACGAGGAGAGGGACTCGAGTATCGAGAGACACGTGGAGCGGAGAGCGGCGGCGGCTCCGCCCCGGCTCTTCAACGTCACGTGCCGTGGCTGAGGTGCCACCCCGCCCCCCTCCCCCTCCGAGGAGTGGGCAGTGGGGGGAGGTTGAGCAGCAGCTCACCTATATGGCTGTTGGACTTCTCGAGGAGAGAGCGCGCCTGGCGCTGTGCTCAACTCTCGTGCTGCCTGAACTGTGTTCAAGCACCACACTGCAGGTCACAACCCACCCACTCACCTGCCCATTCACCCACTCATTCACCCACTCATTCACCCTCTCACCCACCCACTCACCCACCCATTCACCGACTCACCCACCCACCCAATCACTCACTCACCGACTCACCCACCCACCCATTCACCCACTCACTGACAGCACTGCAGGTCACAGCACAATAGCACCGTATGTGTAGCCTTAACTCACAGGCGCAGCTTGGTATTATTTGTTATATTTTAAACTATAGACAGGATGTAAATATACATGTTATCATAGTTTAGAATTGTCAACTCTTATGTTCAGTATTAAGGCGATGGCGCTTCGAGTTGGCAATTTGTGGCAGCAAGGCGCCAGCCACGGATGTAACACAAACAAAATTGACTTGAGCGAGCAGGCGAGTATATACACATCAGCCACAACACTGCCTTGCGTTCAACACAGCCAACACTCCGGGCCGGCTTCACCGTTCAGTGTCCCATCGGCAGTCGGGCTCGCTTGAGACAGAGTCGTTCGCATTGTGTAGAACAATCATCAGCAGTGTGTTGTGTACTTACGCAATTCGTACTTCGTTTTATGTTTAGTGACTTGCTTACCTCGTCTAGACTTTTCACGATAGTTTTATGTCGTATTGTCTTTTTGTTATAATTTGACGACCCCGTGTCCCGACTGTACATCTGTGTAAAAGATCTTCACATCTCATCCGATTCCTCCAGGCAGGATAAAGATTCTGATTGTGGGGACACAAGCGGCGTTGAGCTGCCGCGTTCGTGGCTGCACCGCGGCCATGCGTGGGTCCCGATCCACAGCGCCACCTCATGGCGGGGTCCAGGAGACGAGACCCCTGGCGCGACCCCTTTCCCCTCTCTCCCGAACCCCTCTGGATCCTCGAATGTCGCCCAACACCCCTCCGATACACCTCGCTGTGCGCGGGTCTGCTGGATGCGCCGTGGTACGGCGTTCCCAAGGCGACGGAAAATGGTGCTGCGCCAGGCAGCACCATTCTGATGGGCAGCCACACATCGAGGTTGTGGAAGAGCCAGACGAATGCGTCACGAGGAGCAGCGGATCGCTGCTGTCGTGATGCCTCTTCCGTCTTTGTGAATCAGGCATCGAGGCGTCGTTATATGTTCCACGCTTGTGTTGTGGGTGACCAGACTCCACTGCCGGTGAGGTCTTTAATTTTCCCTTTGTGCATCAAGTACTGTGTCAGCTGCTGCTGCTGCCATGGTTTGTGCCGACGGGGTTCACGGTTGTGGTCCAGAAGATTCACGGCAGGTGATTGTGTTTTGTGTCGTCGGGTCTTTCACGAGGAGGTGTGTGCGACTTCATGTGACCCGAGAAGTTTGCGGTTCGACTGGCGGACAGGGCTAGGTGGTCTGGCCGCTACGGGCCGCCCGAGTAAACAACCGTGATCTCACAGGTCATCGGAGAAGCGCCCCGGTCACTTTCACTACAGTGAAGATACGTAACCTAGGGCAGGGGTCGGCAACCAAATTGAAAAGGAGCCATTTTTGTGCGAAAACTCAATATTTGAAGAGCCGCAATGCAACGTGAATGAGACGGAGGTCCTAAATACGGTCACGAAGCAGTCCTTAAAGAGGCGCACGCGGATCCAGAGCTGCAGGTTGCCATCCCGTCACCCAGGGGTAGTCCAGCGCGATCCAGGCACCGGCAGTGTGAAAACTCACCCGCAAAACGCCCCGCTCGGAGGACGCACGCGGCAACACCCCCCCCCCCTGCGAAACTACCGCAGCAGTCCAAGTGTGAAACTCAGCAGCGTCACGTCTTGATGACCACCTGGAGCCCCACGTAGATTTGATGGCGTGCTTGCCTGGGCTTGCCTGGGCTTGGAAATGGGGCCGGGGGGGGGGCAAGGGACGGCCCAGGACCCCAACCCTAAACCTGGCCGACCAGGCTGCTTGCCGTAAGGTGGTCACGGCGAATGTGCCGTGAAACGGAGGTCGCCGCATTTTTGTTCCCACTGCGGGGATCAAACAAAGGGGGGAGTGTTTCTCGGCACGAGGTCTGTTACCAGAACCGTGCCGCGGTTTACCGTGATAAGAGTTCAACACGGCAATACTGGAACCGGATCAAGGTGGATGATCAATTCCTGCCACCCGGACACAGGATTCAGGTCCGAGTGAAACACGGGGACAGGCGGCTACCTCAGCGTGGACCGATTCACATGACGAGGCGACACGAGGAACCGGGCACAGAGTGAGACGGACTCGGGAGGGTTACGCGAGTTAAGGAATTCAATTGCAAAAAAAACCCATAACGACGACGACGATGATCTCACACGCAGGACCGACCAGGACCGCTGGGGGGCAGGCGGGGTCAGTGTAAACGCATCAAGACGGGGAGGGGGGGAGGGAGGGCGGCCGGCGGCGGACCACAGCGCCCGCCGCTCGCACCGCGGGCCGGCCAAGGGGGAAGTGCGAGGCTCCAACGCGCACGCGGAGGCGACGGCGGGCGGGCGAATTCGTCGGGCGGAGAGCTGAAAAAAACTTACCGATGAGTGAAATAGAACCAAAATGAAAAGCGACTTTATTCAGACACGATTCACTTCGCCCACACACCGGAACGTAAGGTTCCCACGAGCGGAGCGCGGTGAGGCCGCCGCGTCCAAGGACACTGCGGCGGCCTCTCTCCGCATCCTGCCAGCGGGGACCTCGCGCCCTCCTCTCGTGTCTGGACGTCGCCTGTATAAATTAACCTGCCCGGGTTGAGAGAGAGGCGAACGCCGCGTGGGACCGTTGGTCGAATGCTGCTACGGCCGGGGACGCGCGTTAGAGGGGGGCCCACCCTGTCGGCCCGGGCCACCCGCCGCCCAACTCTGCGCGGCACCAAGAGGGGAATCGTGGGGCGATTCCCCACCCGTGGTCACCCCCCAGCCCCCGCAAGCGGGGGACTGTCACGGACGCAGTCGATTTATAAAAACGCTACCGGCGCACGGCGCTCCGAGGAAACGCGTCGAGGGTTGGCGGCGACCCGGTCACAGGCGGCGGGGGGCCCCGCAGGGTGGGGAAGCGCCGCACGGTGGCACCACGCGGTGCCCGCGTGAGGCCACAAGGCACCAGATGGCAGAGCATGGCACACCGGGCGGCACCGCGTGGCGCGCGCGTAAACCCGCGCCGCGGGCACGCCCGACTTGTGGGGGTCGCGCGGAGCCCTGGCCAGGAGGCCGAGCCCCCCCACCCCCCCGGCACCCACCACAGTCCACGTGGGGGGCGCGACCCTGAAATGTGCGACTCGAGGAAGCGAAGAGGGGCACCGTGGGGGCGGGGGGGGGGCACCCGAGGGGAGGAGGGGGGCGTGGGGGGCACAGGCGGCGGTGCCAGCCCAACTGCAAGGAAAGTGCCGGCCAACGCACCAGCGTCACGAACACAAACGTCGCGCACGCGCGAACACGATTAAAAAAGCTACCGTAGTAAGGGTTAGTAATAAGATTTAAAAATGATGACGACGATGTTATCGATGCGAGGCTCAACGAGGCGTGGACATGCAAGGGGAGCGGCGCTGCTGCTGCTGCTGCCGCCGCCCGGCGCCGTCGGCGTCCGGCTTCCCGAAGAGTGGAGCGCAACGAGCCCAGGCAACGGAAATGAGAGGAGTGCGGTGCTACAGTGTGTGTGTGCGCGCGTCTCTGTGCGTGCGTGTGCGTCTCTGCATAAGTGGCTATGTTTGGGTGTGTGTGTTAGATTGTCTGTCAATGTGTGTTTTGGTGTATTGGTGGTTATACGTGTGTAGGAGTGTGTGTTTGTAGGGGACTTTGCATGTTTATGTAGGTCGGTGTGCATTGGTGTGTGTGGGTGTGTGTGTAGGTGCGTGTTTGTGTAGGTGCGTGTTTGTGTCGGTCCATGTGTGTGTAGGTGTGTGTGTATAGGCACGTGTGTGTAGGTCCGTGTGTATGTAGGTTCGTGTGTGTGTACAGGCGTGTGTGTGTGTGTGTCGGTGCACGTGTCACTCGCTGGCGATGCGACCCTTCTCCGCCTCTATCCTCCGCCGCAGGTCCTGGAACTTGGGCCTCTTCTGTGGGTCCAGGCTCCAGCAGTCGCGCATCAGCTGATAGACGATGGACGGGCACTGCTCGGGGGCGTCCATCCGATAGCCCTTCTCCACGTGGGACACCACGTCCTTCAGGGGCTGCACCACCGCGACAACCACCACCACCATCGGTACCACCATCGCCATCGTTGGTGCCAACGGCGTGACCAATGCCATCGCTATGTGGCTGCTGCTTTCAATTTCCACTCGATGATGAGCGAACTTGTTGCGTTATCATTTGTGGCCAGGTCACTACTGAAAGAGTTTTTTATAGTTTACCGTAGTTTAGTTTACCAGCACCACAGTCAGCACTGATTCCAGTATTGCCTCTGGTCATTGGCCCCATCAGTTTAACCGTTGGGCACCTTCAGTTTCACCATTTGGCACCATCGGTTTGGCACCATTACCTGTTGGCACTACTAACACCATGACCACCGACACCAACACTACCGTCATCACGACAATTGGCACCACCACCATCAGCACCACAACCAACACCAACACCACCGTTTACCACAAGCGCAATCAAAACAACCACTTCCAATACCACAGTCACCACCAATGACAATCGCCACACACAGGTGGGTAGGTAGGGGTGGTGAGGTGGGGCACTCACCACACGGGGGTAGGGCACGCGTCCGAACGAGTAGACCTCCCACAGCAGGACGCCGTAGCTCCACACGTCCGACTGTGATGTGAAGGCCTGCGTGGCACACGCAGCGGCACAGAGACAAACACCCCCCGTGTAACTTTTAACAGGCTATTGGGGCAAGTGCTATTAGCGAACACCTATGAAGGCCAGTATGGCACACGAGGGCGTGGGTTGCCAGTACCACGCCCAGCCACCTTTGTCTCTCCGGTGCTGATATTTACACATCGTACCAGTTACTAATTTTTAGGGGAGACGCAGGACATCTTCTAATAATTGTCACTGGTGTTGGTCGTCAGCAGGAATCAAACTCGGCAGCATGCTAACCACTACACCACTGCTCACACACGGGTACACACTGGCACGCACACACATTGGTACACACAGCGGCACACACCGATCTACAAAGTGGTACACACACTGGTACACACCAACACACACACAATGAAACGGCCAATGGCACAAACACCGATGCGCACAATCGCACAATCATTTATACAAACAGGCACACGCACCTGTACGCACACCGGTACACACACCACCACATGCTCGTGTGCTTGCCTGTACGGCTGTACCACCAACACATGCGTGTGTGCAGCTGCCCGCGTGGCTGTGTCACGAGATGAGATTGCGTGGTTGTGCGGGGCGCGTGCGGCCACTCCTACGTTGTGCCGCAGCGCCTCCGGGGCGGTCCACTTGACGGGCAGCTTGCTGCTGTCGACGGTGGCGGTCGCCTGCTCCTTGGCCAGGCCGAAGTCGCTCACTTTGGCGATGCTGTCGTCCGACACGAGCACGTTCCGTGCCGCCAGGTCGCGGTGCACGAAGCGCCGCGACTCCAGGTACTCCATGCCCTCGCACACGTCGCTGGGACACGCCGATACGCGCGCACACACACAAAGATCCCTTGTGTAGCCTTAACAGACTTTTGGGGCAAGTGCCGTTCACAAGCAGCATTCATGAAGGCCGGCACGGGACACGAGGGGTGGGTGGCCAGCACCACACCCGGCCGCCTTTGTCTCCCTAGTTGCGATGTTTACACACCGCACCAGGAACTCATTTGAGGCCGAGTCGACCTAGGGGAGGCTCAGGAGTGGTTCAAATATTTGCCACTTATTCGTCGTGAGCAGGAAACGAACTCGGGTTGCTGGGTTTGTAGTGCAGCTCGCTAACCGCTGCACCACCGCCCCCACATGCGCACAGAGACACGCTCACACAACACATGGACATCATCATTCACACAAAGATCCCCCATGTAACCTACATGGGCCTTAGAGGCAGGAGCTATTAGCAAGCACCTATCAAGGTCAAAATGGCACAGAAGGGGGTGGGTGCCCAGCACCAGTGCTGATGGTTTACACACTACACCAGGTAATCATATGAGGCCTTGTCAACCTAGGTGAGGCCCGGGACCGGTTTAGATATTCGTCACAGATGTTGGCCGCGAGCGGGAATCGAACTCGGGTCGCCGGGTTCAGAGGGCAGTGTGCTAACCACTGCGCGGCAGCTTCCTCCGCGGGACACACCGAGTTGCCAACACAACAAGACGTGCACAGAGATGGCCGGCGTGGGGGTGGCCACCCACCCCCTTCAGAGGTGCTAATCACATACAGCACTTGCCCCAACACAGCCTGCTAAGGCTATACAGTGGATCTTTGTCTTTGTGTATGTGTGCATATGCACATGCATGTGTATGCATGTGTGTGCGTGTATGTGTGCGTGTGCATGCGTGTATGCATGTGCGCACATGTGTGCATGCATGTGCGCACATGCATGTGTGCGTGTGCGTGTGCTCCAAGTGATCAGTTTGGTCTCCATGTCGTGGCCCCTGGCGATGCCCGGCCCCACGCCCTCGTGTAACATGCCGACCTTCAGACGTGCTGAAGACGATGGCGATACACGTGCGAGTGTGTGAGTGGGAGTGTACGAGAGTGTGCGAGTGAGTGTGAGTGAGTGTGTGCGAGTCAGTGTGTGTGAGTAAGCGTGTGTGTGGGGAGCGGTGGTGTAGCGGTTAGCGTGCTGCGCTATGAACGTAGCGACCTGGGTTCGATTCCCGCTCACGGCCAACACCGGTGACGATTATCTGAACTGGTCCTGAGCCTCCCCTAGGTCGACTCAGCCTCAAATGAGTACCTGGTACCTGGTGTGGTGTGTAAACATCGCCAATGGGGAGACAAAGGCGGCCGGGTGTAGTGTTGGCCACCCACCCCTTGTGTGCCATGTCGGCCTTAATAGGTGTTCGCTAACAGCACTTGCCCCAACAGTCTGTTAAGGCTATACGGGGAATCTTTGTCTTTGGTGTTATGGTCGCTTGGCTGTTGTAGGTTTACTCGTTAATGCTCTGCTTGATGACCCCCACCCCCTCTCATTATGCCCCCCTGCCCAACTCCGAGTATGCGAGTGTGTGTGTGTGCGAGCGAGTGACAGTGTGTGAGTGAGAATGTGTGAGTGTGAGAGTGTGTGAGAGTGTTTGCGAGTGTGTGTGCGAGTGTGTGTGAGAGTGTGAGTGTGTGTGCGAGAGTGTGTGCGAGTGCGAGAGTGTGTGCGAGTGTGTACGAGTGTGTATGTGAGCGTGATAGTGTATGAGAGTGTGTGCGAGTGTGTGAGAGTGTGTGCGAGTGCGTGCGAGTGTGTGCGAGTGTGTGCGAGAGCGTGTGTGTGCGAGTGTGTGTGTGCGAGTGTGTGTGCGAGTGTGTGCGAGTGTGTGTACGAGTGTGTGTGCGAGTGTGTGTGCGAGCGTGTGAGTGTGAGAGTGTGTGTGCGAGTGTGTGTGCGAGTGTGTGTGCGAGTGTGTGTGCGAGTGTGTGTGCGAGTGTGTGTGAGAGTGTGTGAGAGTGTGTGCGAGTGTGTGTGTGAGTGTGAGCGAGTGTGTGTGAGTGTGAGAGTGTGGGTGTGTGTGAGAGTGTGTGCGAGTGTGAGAGAGTGTGTGAGTGTGTGTGCGAGTGTGTGTGCGAGTGTGTGTGAGAGTGTGAGAGTGTGTGCGAGTGTGTGAGTGTGTGCGAGTGTGTGCGAGTGTGTGTGAGAGTGTGAGAGTGTGTGTGAGAGTGTGTGTGCGAGTGTGTGCGAGTGTGTGTGAGAGTGTGAGAGTGTGTGCGAGTGTGTGAGTGTGTGCGAGTGTGTGTGAGAGTGTGAGAGTGTGTGTGAGTGTGTGTGTGAGTGTGTGTGTGAGTGTGTGTGTGAGTGTGTGTGCGAGTGTGTGTGAGAGTGTGTGAGTGTGTGTGTGAGTGTGTGTGTGAGTGTGTGTGCGAGTGTGTGTGCGAGTGTGTGTGCGAGTGTGTGTGAGAGTGTGTGAGTGTGCGAGTGGCAGCGCTCACAGGGAGAACTGGATGAGGTCTCTCTGCGTGATGACCGAGCGACCCCGCGATCTCAGGTAGTCCACGAGGCTGCCCTGCAACCACGACACCGGTCACCGACAACAACACGGTCCCCACTCTCTCCTTGAAACACAGCTGCTGAGCACAAGCCCAAAACATAAAACCGCCAGCAACAAACAGCTCCATCAAAGTTGCAAAAGATGAGAGATGATATTAATAATAAAGACGTGGCGCCGCACAGCGGTCGCTCACTCTCGTAGAGAGAGTGGACGACTCGGAGGCGCGAGGAGGAGCGGCAGGTCAGCGGGAAGGCAGCAGCAGCAGCAGCCGCCACTCGGTGCCCAAGCTCTGCGGCCCTCTATGTATCTGAAGGTGTCATCGGCCAATTAATGATGAGTGTGGGAGGAAATTGGAGCACTTGGAGAAAACCCACACGTTCGAAGAGGCAACGCTCTATTCCGCACAGAGGGGACAGGTTGAGCTAAGATTGTCTTGCACGGCCTTCTCCTGGCGAGTCGGGGTTCGGCTCCTCCTCTACGCTCGCGGGAAGGGAGTTTGCGCAGCATCTGTGCGTGATCCACCAACCCTCGCTGCTGCCTCCACATAGCACTGGATCACGGGCTGCCACGTGCAGCAGCGGAGCCTCCACCGCCTGGCTACCACGTCTCCTGAATTGAGGGAGGTTATCGCTGTGAGAGCGTGCGGGGGGGTCGGGGGTAAAAGAGGCGATGAGAGGGGGGGGGGGAAACTCTAGAAAGGGTTTTGTGAACCCGTCTGTGCGGGAAGGGTTTCCACCAGGCTCTCCTCCCGTACAAAGCCAAGCGCCCATTAAAGTTACTGGCCAAACATCCCAACGTAGGACCCCCTCGTGAGAACGAGTCTCGAGACTCCCTGAGGCCTTCCTGGGAGAATGAATGATGTTGTTTTTTGGTTGTTGTTGTTGTTGTTCACGGACCTTGCCCATGAACTCGGTGACGATGTAGAGGTAGTCACCCATCACCACGCCCAGCAGCTGCACCAGGTTCTTGTGCCGGATCTCACTGCAGGGGTGGGGGGCGGGGAGGCACCAAAGGCAGGGGCAAAGATGCTCCCGTGTAGGCTTTACAGACTGTTGGGGCAAGTGTGTAGCCTTTTCTGCGTTAGTAGTATCTGTAGCCCCGTCGTTGTTAGGATAGCGTCTCTCCCAATCGCCGAGGAGGAACCGCAGGCGAGCGGAAAGGCAGCAGCAGTAGCCACCCGGTGAGGAGTCGGCACCACCAACAATTAACTAAGCTCTGTGGTCCTCGAAACATTAAGATATTGTCAGCCAAATTAACGAGTGTTGAAACACGTGGGAGGAAACCAGAGAATCCGCCAACCCTGGCCTCCACAGCGCTGGACTTAAGGACACGTGTGCCATACCCTGCCCGGAAAGTCACCGGTGCGGTGCGTGTAGCCAAAATGAGCACTGGAGAGACAAAGGCGGCTGTGTGCGGCGCTGACCATAGCCACTCCCTCGAGCGCTGTGCCAGCCTTCACGGGTGCTCGCAAACAGCACTTGACCCCAGCAGCCTGTGTGGGCTACACGGGAGACCTTTGTGCGCGTGTGCGTGTGAGTGCGCGAGTGCGCGAGTGCGTGAGTGTACGTGCGTGAGTATGCGTACGTCATGACGGCTGCCTCTGCGAGGAATGCCTGCGCCGTGGCATCGCTCTTGATGATCTTGACGGCCACGCGGTTGCCACGGTAGCAGCCCTCGTGTACGTCTGTCTCACACACCCGCGCACACACAAGCACGCACACCTGTAGAGACGGAGACAAAGATCCCCCGTATAACCTACCCAGACTGTTGCAGTAAGTGCTGTTGACGAACACCTATGAAGGGCGGCACGGCACACGATGGGTTGGCATGACCAGCACCATGCCTGACCGCCATGGTCTCCGAGTCGACCTGGGGGGAGGCCCAGCAGCTATTCAGATACGAGCGGGAATCGAACTCGGGTCCACCGGGTACGGAGCGCTACATAACCGCTCCCCACTCTCTCATACACACAAAGACACACACAGGCATGCATACAGGCATGCTCACACGCAGGCACGCAAGCACTCGGGTGGAGCACACTGGAGAGACTGTGCTGCTGCCGAGGACCCCGCACCCCGAGCCGGGCGAGTCAAAGGTCACGCAGACCCACAATGGGCCCTGTCTGATGAATCAATCGCTCACTGATGAGCCAACGCTGGCGCTCGCGACCCGGAGGGCCCCTCCCACTCCTCCCCCTCATCCCCCAGAGCCAGGCGGAAATGGGGGGCAACTTCCCTGCCCCCCACCAAAACCCACGGGTGTGAGCGTGTGTTACCTCCAAACTCGCCCTTCCCCACGGAGTTGCCCAAGTTCAGCTCATGCACGTCAATCACCCAGCCGCCTGCGTGTGTGCGTGTTTATGCGTGTGTGTGTGCATGTGGGTGTGTGTGCATGTGTGTGTGTATTTATGCGTGTGTGTCAGTGTGCGAGTGGATTGTGTTCATGCATGTGTGATTACGTGCATGTGTATATGTGTGTGCGTGTGTAATTTTCAGTGTGCATGTGTGTGTATATGCATGAGAAAGACAAGCACACAAAATAAAGACGCATCAATAGTAAAAAAAAAATCAAGTTAAATTCACGTTAAGCAGGCACCATACCACAGCCCCTGGGAAACCACAACCCTACCTCCACACTCTCCTGCCTCTCTCATCTCACTTCCCTCCACACACTCTCCGCTCCAGCAACCAACGCTCTTCTCTTCAAGACCCCAGTGAACCTGGGCACAGTGGGAGGTCGCTCATTCTCCTCTGCTGTCCCCATGGAAGGGAGTCTGCAACTCCCTTCCATGCTGTCCACTACTTAGTCTCGCTTCCTCTTCCCCCTCTTTGACCGACTGCCTCCCTTTAGATCTTCAAAATACACAGAGACCAGTACTCTCACACAGAGACCTGCGCCCCTTTCTCTCCATGAAGTAAGCACCCCCACTGCGTCTGTGTGCAAACCGCCACCTAGCGCTGTACATTGGGACCTTCGGATAAAATGCTGCCCCGTACAAATGTATTTCTAAAATTATTATTATTAATCGCAACACGTCCAGCGGAACCGAGCGGGCTCGGTGATCGCAGCGAGCCAGGCGAGAGACGCCCGCCCGAACCCTGTCGAACGAGCTTGCCTGCCCAAGAGCCCGAGAGGAGGAGGCTCCTGGCGCCAAGGCAGATGGCGAGAGAGGTGCCCCTCCCCGCACCTCCACCCCGCCCGCCCCCTGCCATGCGTCACTCACCCTTGGAGAAAACCTCCTGAGCGGCGATGGCGCCCTCGATGGGCTTGGGCTTGATGAGCCGCGTACACAACCCGTCCTCCTCCTGCGTGTAATGCTGGGACACGCGCACAGTCACAGGCACAGTCACACGCACAGTCACACACGCAGTCGCACGCACAGCCACACCCACAGTCACACATAGTCACACGCACAGATCCCATGTGTAGCCGTAGAGACACCGGCAAACACACAGGCATGATCACACGAAGATAAAGATTTCCCATATAGCCTTCAACACACTGTAGGGACCAGTGCTGTTAGCAAGCACCTATGAAGTGGTTGGTGGCTAACACCACACCTGCCCACCTTTGTCTTTGAAGTGCTTAATGTGGTGTATGTTTATGCCAGGTACTCCGATTTAAAGCCAAGTCCACTTAATAGAAGCCCCGGAATGGTTCAGATTATCATGACTGTTATTGGTCATATTGCGGGAAATAAACTCGGATTCATAACACAGTGCGCTAACCACTGCGCCACCGCTCCCCACACACAATGACAGGGATCCCATGTGTATCCTTACAAACACCAGACGAAAATACCCCTTATAGCCTTTAAAAGACTTGCGGGGAAAAGGTGGACGTGCAAGTGGCGGTTACATCATAACAGTGAATGTGCCAGGCTAAGTGCACCTTGAGGCCATGTGAAGCGTGGAAGGCTCGTTGACAAACACAGCCACACACGCCAGGGTGCGCTCACGCACGCACAAGGACGCGCAGAGATGATCACGCAACCACGCCCAAGTGAAGCAGCCTCTCCAGACTCATATTTATTTCATATTTAACCCAAGCAATGAGGCTTATGAGACCAGAAATGGACATTGCGCAAAACATCTTCCGTTTAATACTTCTATATTATATTTATCTTTTAAGGCCAAGGTGACATTGACGAATGTGTCGATTTGACGAATGCGTGGCTTGTGCAAGCACAACTTATAAACGTACATTCCACGTTTTAGTTTTGGGCCAGACTGCTGGCGTAGATGTGAGAACCATGGGCCATGCGGTGGCTCGTGGGGACAGGGTGACCCCACGAAAGCTCAACTACAAACACACGAGTAGCACACACACCGCACACACACAGCAACGACAACCCCCATTCGCAACTAAGTGGTGGTGACGTCAGCACGACGCTTGTGCCAGGCTATGGGCACTTTAAGGCCACGTGAAGTGTCGAACGTCCGCTGGCAGGAGGTCACGGGACAGACCCATGTGCCATGGGTTGACTGACTGAGATGACTGGCAGATGCACCACCTGTGCCCCCTACTGTGCCAACTTGCTGTGCTTTAGCTGCCCGGCACTGTGCTCGTTGTTGTGAGCGTTGCTCCTCTGCCCTTCGTTGTTGCTGGAGAGCGACTGCCTCCAACTGCCCAGTAGCAGCGTCCTTCACGAACCTCTTTCACAGAGGCCGATCTTGACACCGCTGGTACCAGGCATTGACAAGTCCACTCAGCTATATATCCTCTGGTACCACCTTATTCAATCTCTTCTCTAGCCCGTGCTGTGCCTGTTTAGCCTCCTCTATCCGGCTGAACAAAAGTTGATTAGGTATGCGGTGGCTGGGCATGCGGGCTACATGACACAGCGAACGCTGCCTTGCCTGCCGGAAGAGATCACCTATGGGACTGTGTCCAGATCTGTCAAGGATTTGTAAACTCTTCACACAATCCAGCTTTGTTAAACCAAGGATGGATCATAGGCAGGCCAGCCTAAATGTGTCTAACCGACGAAGATTTTCCACGTTTTTCAAGCATAGAGAAGGAAGAGCACAACCGCCCGAGAAGACCCGAAACTTCGTGTGAAGCGACAGACCAGGTAGCTTCTACACACACAGCACACACACACAAGCAGCACACATACCGCATGCACATCACACCCACCACACAAAGATCCCCCCCGTGTAGCCTTAACAGACTGTAAGAGCAAGTTCTGTTAGCGAGCACCTATGAAGACTGGCACGGGACACAGCGTGGTCACCAACACGCCCTGCCATCTTTGTCTCCCTCGTGGCAATGTTTACAAAAACGGTTTTGGCTGTGAGCGGGAATTCAACTCGGGTCGCTGGGTTCATAGCGCAGCACGCTACACCACCGCTCTCCACCACTCGCACACCACACAGCACACACGGTCACCACGCGAAGTTCACAGCACACATGCCCAGCAAAGCACACACAGTCACTACGAGCAGCACTCAGCCAGCAACTGAATCCCTGCCACAGACTCTTCTCCCTTCCCAGCACCCACTGAGTCCGGCCACAGTGAACCACTGAGTGCTATAACCATGACAACGGTGAAAAGCCGCACTTATGAGTGACACAAATGGACACACACACATACACACGCGCACACCTTTGAAGACCAGCATGTCACACGAGAGTGTGGGTGGCCAACACCTTGCCCCGCCGCCTTGGTCTCCCTAGTGGCGATGTACTTGTTTGAAGCCGAGTTGGCTTGGGGCTGATCGTCAATGGTGTTGGCCTTGAGCGGGAATCGAACTCTGGTCACTGGATTCGTAGAGCAGTTTGCTAACCGCTACACTGAACCACTGAGTGTCATTACCATGACAATGGTGAAAATCCGCACTGTGTATAAGTGACACAAATGCACACACGCACACATACGCGCACACACACACGCGCACACACGGGGCTTTGTGCGAGCGTCTTTGCAAGGCTTAGATAGCCGTGAGGAGAAGATGCGGCGGTGGCGGTCTCTACCGTTTATCTAAAAACCTGAGCGCAGAAAACCCTCTCGTGGGGCGTGGGGCGCAATGCGTGGACGCCCCCCCCCTTCCGCCCCCAGAACCATTACGAGCCCGGCGAGCGATGAAGAATCGGCCGCCCAGGATCGTGGGGGCCCCTTTCCTCTCCCACAATGCATTGCCGACGTCACGGAAACTCGCGCCGTTCGTGTGGCCCGAGCCAAAGGACGTTCGCCAAACCACACACTCGCTTCGTCTGAGAAAGGCCCCGCTGATTGCGACAGCCGGTGCCATCGCGGGCCAAGCAAGGCCGCATGTGTTAGCACGCCGCAGTGACGGAGGAAGTTCGCGGTTTCTCTTCTACAATTTGTATTTCTGTTGCAAAAAACAGGAACTCGTCCGCATTTAGATCCCGAGTTACACCCACGCGCTCCGCTTTAAATGTGAACTGTACACCTGACCCGCACTGTACGTGAACTTCCATGAGAAAGCAACCTTTGACATTTCGGAGGCAACGACCAAAGGTCAGGGGGTGACTGACGAGGACGCCGTGTCCCTCCCGTCGTGTACGGTGGGCTCAGGGAGAAGCGGGTAGGCCAGTGATCACCATGGAGATAAAACACCGAGAGGGGGGGGGTAAGGTTTACCCGATCCACCGCCCCCACACCGCACCACCTCTGCTGATGCCCCCCACGGTCTGAAACACCCATCCCCCGGTAAGCCGTGCTGTCAGCTCCCTGTCCCTGTTTAAGACCAGACTCAACAGGTTCCTATTTTTTCTCTGCCTTTGAATGACTGTGGACCCATAGACCCAGAGACCCATAGACTCACAACGCAGATCGATAGACTTACGCATAACCCCAAAGACTTATACAGAGACCCATAGACTCGCACAGAGACGTAGACTCACAGAGGCCGATGACCGACCAACCCTCTCTATAAGGGCGGTGCAGCGTTGACACTCGCGTCACACAGCAACAAGTTCCTGGGTTCCATTCCTGACCCGGGCGCCCTGTTTTCCTCCGGGTTCTCTGGTTTCCTCATCTCATAGCTAAAGCAATGTTGCTGGTTCTGGCCAAAGCATCCCAATGCTTAGAAATCACCTGCACATGACTCAATCCGGGATCACACGCAGCAGCAACATTGCTCCCTAATGCCGTGAAAACTTGGCATGACTCTTCTACAGAAGAGTCTTGAGACTCAGTGAGGCTTCCCGGGTAAAAGCACAATAATAAAACAATAAAGAATGAAACAAATGTGCCCTCTGTTGTTGCGTAGCGCGCTGTGTTGTAATCGCGTTGGGACGCTGTATAAGTCCATGTCGCTGTTGTAAAGCAGACTGTTACAGCTCCAGCGATATACACACATGCGCACACACACACACATCCACACTCATGAACAAACACAAATACATACATCAATGCAGATTCCCAATGCGGACTCGTCCAGGTGCGCACACACACAAAGACAAAGATCCCCCGTATAGCCTTAAGAAGACTGTTGGGGCAAGCGCTGTTCCCGAGCACCTATGAAGGCCGGCACGGCTCACAAAGGCGTGGTGCGGCCATCACCACTGCTTGGTGTCTTTGCCGAATGCTGACTTCACGCACCACACCAGGTACCCATTTCGTCCCGAGTTGACCCAGGCGCGAGCTAGGACCGGTTTAGATATTCTGTCACTGACGTAGGCCAAGAGCTGGAATTGAATTCAGGTCGCCAGGCTCATAGCAAGAATGCGCTAACCACTACACTATCGCTTCCCATCTGTGTTTGCCACCAGCATCATCATCACCACCATCACCACCACCATCATTATCATAACCACTGCGCCACCGCTCCTCATCAAACACACGTACGTACGCACGTACGCGTGCTCGTGCGCTCACCTCGACGAGCTGGATAAGGTTGTCGAAGTAGCTCTCCTCGTCGATGGTGAGCCGGCTCTCGCGGTAGATGATGCGGTAGTGCTCCACCTTGCCGCCGGCGCACACGCACAGCGTGTAGTCGCCCGGGTAGTTGGTGCTCTCACGCACCAGGAACATCCCGTCCTCCGGAGGGCACAGCAGCCGTTCCGCCTGCTCCCTCGGGATCTTCCCGTGGAACCACCTGCGGTGCACGCGCCCGCCACGATCACGCATCAAGCGAGAGGACGACCTTTCAACCTGCATAGAATTCTGAACCTGGGACCAGAAGACTACGAATATCATACGATCCCTCCCCTCCCTGCTTCCCACGGTTCCCTGGTGGGCAGCGTGTTTACCGCCGCCGCTTGTTTGTTGAGGATCGCTGTTCGAATCCGGCTGGCTGCCCTGGTTAATACTGCGGTGCATATGTTAATCGCAACAGTGCCACATGCCGTTTGCTTCACTCACAGTGAACGTTGAAGATCGTTTGCATGAGTCGGCCATTGCGTGCCGGCGTCACGGTAACCAATTTCAAAATATGACACTGAAAATTACTCATCTGGGTTCTACCATCATGTGGAGAGAAGACTGGCAGAAATCTGAACTGTAAACAGCGTAAACATCTCAACACGTAGGTTATCGCAGGCAGTATTACGATTCAGTGTATCACGGGGCCTAAGCCGAATATCAATTAAGATCGGTATAATTAAACCATCGGCACGCCGTTTATAACTGGTAGGCCTCACGTGGCTGCGGGCCGCATCGAGCCTCCGTGGGCCCCGAGTTTCCCCACCACCCCCGACACCTCTATGAGATCAAACCACCGCGCCGGGCCCCAACCGGATCGGCCGAGACTCTGCCACCCGAACCAAAAACACCTGCTCAGTGACCAGCAACCGGGCTGACCTCCAGCCCCCTGCCCTGCCGCCCCCAGCTTCTCCAGATCGGATGGGACGGGCTCAATACGGGCACTCACGGCATCATGCTGAGCTTGCCGTCGGTCTTGACGGCCTCGCGTTTCTGCACGTAATTGGCAGGAATGAAGCCCTCGCGGCCATCTTTGTTGCGAGCCTGGTACCAGTTCCTGTCCTGTGCGTTCACATGCACACACACACGCACGCACGCACACACGCACACACGCACACACACGCACGCACACGTGCACGCACACACACACACACACACGCACACACGCACGCACACACGCACGCACACACGCACGCGCGCACACACGCACACACGGGGTCGGGGTCAGGGGGGGTTCACGTGTGCGTGAGCGTGCGCGTTCACACACTCGGAAAAACATCACGCACGCACACACGGGGTCGGGGGGTTCACGCGTGCGTGAGCGTGCGCATTCACACACTCGGAAACACATCACGCACGCGCGCGTTTCTCTGTGCGGTCACGCACAGCGCGTGCACACCGAGAGGTTCACTCGTGCGTGTGGGCGCGGAAGAGGAGCACGCACACAAAGATGGACGCAATCACGACGATTGATCGGGGAACCCTGGGCTACGCGAGGCACTCGGGTGAGGTGGCGGGGTGCGGGGGTGAGGTGGTGATGTTGCGAGTTGATGAGACTGTGGCATGGTGAGGTGGTGATGCTATGAGTTGGTGAGGCAGTGGAGTGGTGAAACTGTAATGCGGTGAGACTGTAAGGGTGTGAGGCAGTAGCGTGGTGAGGTGGTGAGGTGGTGAGGTGGTGAGGCGGTGAGGCGGTGAGCCCATATGCCTTGTTGTCGGAGACGATGGTGAGCACATCGCCCTTGTTGAAGGAGAGGTCGTCGTTAGCCGTGCCGTGGTAGTTGTAACGAGCCACACAGTGGGTCCCGGGGGCCCAGGTCTGGGGACACAGCAGATGTTGAGGGAGTGCTGGAGAACCACAAGGCACCGACGAGGGGCCTCGAGTGGTCTCGTGCCACCCCGTGAATGACCTTGTGCGTGTGACCTCATGTACACGTGACCACGTGTGTGCGTGTGACCCTGTGACCCCAAGCGTGGCCCCTCATGCGACCCCGTGCGTGGTGGCCTTGCATTGTGACATTACCTCGTGGTCCGTCATCACGACTCCCGGCTCAGGGGCTCTCCCCGATCATCCGATCTGCGGAGGGGAAGGCGGAAGGGGGGGGCAGCAGAAGGAAAACAGGGAACGCACGGGGAGAAGGAGCAGGATGCGGCGAAGATTTAGAAATCCGCGAAAGTTCATTACGCACGACCGCAAATACTGACAGGGATGCCGCTTCCTCGCCGACACACCGGCTGCTGGTTCTAGGAAAAACTGTGCCGGGGTAGCTCCTCTCAGCGACACCACAGCCACCCACTTGGTATGGAGGTAGGGGGCAGGAGTCCTGGATTCTTGGTAGGGGGCAGGGTGTTCTAGAAGAAGAGTCCCGGTAAGGATGACGAATCTTGTACGGGTGAGGAGCTTGGGTCAGGGGTGAGGAGCCCCGGTTAGGGGGTGAAATATGAGCGCACGGCAGAGGGAGATTGAGCAGCAGTTCCTGAGCGGCACCGCTGCTCGCGGGGAAAGCGTGGGACACGCTCGGGCAATCGTGACACGGCCAACAGGAAACACCCGACGTTGAAAAGGGAGCAGCAGATATTCATCTGTCGATCTGCGAGTGCCGTGCTCCCTGGCTGCCACGGAAACATGGGAACCAGCGATAGCAGGCGGGTAGGGCGAGCAGGGAGGGAGGGAACCGGGGAAGGAAATTGAGGCTCGGTCGTCAGAAACCCCCGAGAAGGGAACCCTAGTGTTTGTGGCCACAGGGGTGGCAAGTGGCGGCATCAGTTGGTAAAGGCCCTGCCACCCAAACCAAAACCTCAGCACCCACCCTGCTACCCTCTTGCTAGTTGGGGGGGGGGGGCAAGAAAGCAGGGCTCGACGTTATAATTCCAAGAGTAATGGCACGGCACCTAGAGATGGCAACGCTTGTGCATTGGCGGCGCGTGCCAAAGCAGCCGAGCCAATCGACACGCAGGAAACACCCCGCCGCGATTACCACCACCGCTGCAACAGCAGCAGCAGCGAGCACGACGGACGGGCAAGCGAGCACACGTTACTGAGAAGCGACCGTTTTAGCACAGAGACATCGTGCCCGCAGGTGTGCTGACAAATAAAACGGAACAAACGTTGGAGAGCGTGCAAAAGAAGCGTGGAGGGGTGCAATGATTTGAATTGCACCGCGAGGCAGAAAAGGAACACATCACACTGAGAATAAAAAAGGGTACGTGGCTTGGGCAGGACAGATCGATAGATGGGACGAGACTCCTGATGGAATGGGCAGCCGCAGGTGGGAACGCGTCCAGGAGGACGACCCGTGTGGAGATGGTGCCAAGAGATTAGATTGGCTCATGTACAGCAGATAACCGGCAGCACCGGGCCATGAGGAATGGTCAGGGCGTGGTGAGGCCTTCATCCAGCAGTGGATAATGACTGATCGTGATGTTGACAACATCACGCTTTGTATAAATGCAGCACAGAAAACCCACTCTGTTCACGGTGGCGGTGTCGCAGGGGTGAAACGAGTGCGCCGATGGGTGCCCCCCACCCAACGACGACTCATCCGTGTCCCTGCTGCTTATTCGGGTTGCGCCGCCCGTTCTTGTTCGGCACGACGTCCGACGTTTCGCTCCACATGCCGACAAGAGAAGACGGCTCACGGCTCCCCGGTTCCCGGCACCGAGGATGCTCCCAGCGCGCGGAGCGGAATGACGGGCAACGTGCCGAACGACAATGCGGGCGGCGCAACCCCACAAACACAGCAGAGAGAGCCGTGTGGCACAACCCCACAAACACAGCAGAGAGAGCCGTGTGGCACAACCCCACAAACACAGCACAGAGAGCCGTGTGGCACAACCCCACAAACACAGTGGAGAGAGCCGTGTGGCACAACCCCACAAACACAGTGGAGAGAGCCGTGTGGCACAACCCCACAAACACAGTGGAGAGAGCCGTGTGGCACAACCCCACAAACACAGCGGAGAGAGCCGTGTGACACAACCCCACAAACACAGCGGAGAGAGCCGTGTGGCACAACCCCACAAACACAGCAGAGAGAGCCGTGTGACACCACCCCACAAACACAGCGGAGAGAGCCGTGTGACACAACCCCACAAACACAGCGGAGAGAGCCGTGTGACACAACCCCACAAACACAGCACAGAGAGCCGTGTGGCACAACCCCACAAACACAGCACAGAGAGCCGTGTGACACAACCCCACAAACACAGCGGAGAGAGCCGTGTGGCACAACCCCACAAACACAGTGGAGAGAGCCGTGTGACACCACCCCACAAACACAGCAGAGAGAGCCGTGTGACACAACCCCACAAACACAGTGGAGAGAGCCGTGTGACACCACCCCACAAACACAGCAGAGAGAGCCGTGTGACACAACCCCACAAACACAGCAGAGAGAGCCGTGTGACACAACCCCACAAACACAGCAGAGAGAGCCGTGTGACACCACCCCACAAACACAGCAGAGAGAGCCGTGTGACACCACCCCACAAACACAGCACAGAGAGCCGTGTGACACCACCCCACAAACACAGCAGAGAGAGCCGTGTGACACCACCCCACAAACACAGCAGAGAGAGCCGTGTGGCACAACCCCACAAACACAGCACAGAGAGCCGTGTGACACCACCCCACAAACACAGCACAGAGAGCCGTGTGGCACAACCCCACAAACACAGCAGAGAGAGCCGTGTGACACAACCCCACAAACACAGCACAGAGAGCCGTGTGACACCACCCCACAAACACAGCAGAGAGAGCCGTGTGGCACAACCCCACAAACACAGCAGAGAGAGCCGTGTGGCACAACCCCACAAACACAGCACAGAGAGCCGTGTGACACCACCCCACAAACACAGCAGAGAGAGCCGTGTGACACCACCCCACAAACACAGTAGAGAGAGCCGTGTGGCACAACCCCACAAACACAGTAGAGAGAGCCGTGTGACACCACCCCACAAACACAGCAGAGAGAGCCGTGTGACACAACCCCACAAACACAGCAGAGAGAGCCGTGTGACACAACCCCACAAACACAGTGGAGAGAGCCGTGTGACACCACCCCACAAACACAGCAGAGAGAGCCGTGTGGCACAACCCCACAAACACAGCGGAGAGAGCCGTGTGACACCACCCCACAAACACAGCGGAGAGAGCCGTGTGACACAACCCCACAAACACAGCAGAGAGAGCCGTGTGACACAACCCCACAAACACAGTGGAGAGAGCCGTGTGACACAACCCCACAAACACAGCAGAGAGAGCCGTGTGGCACAACCCCACAAACACAGCGGAGAGAGCCGTGTGACACCACCCCACAAACACAGCAGAGAGAGCCGTGTGGCACAACCCACAAACACAGCAGAGAGAGCCGTGTGGCACAACCCCACAAACACAGCAGAGAGAGCCGTGTGACACCACCCCACAAACACAGCGGAGAGAGCCGTGTGACACAACCCCACAAACACAGTAGAGAGAGCCGTGTGGCACACCCCACAAACCAGCAGAGAGAGCCTTGTGGCACAACCCCACAAACACAGCAGAGAGAGCCGTGTGGCACAACCCCACAAACACAGTAGAGAGAGCCGTGTGACACCACCCCACAAACACAGCAGAGAGAGCCGTGTGGCACAACCACACAAACACAGCAGAGAGAGCCGTGTGACACAACCCCACAAACACAGCGGAGAGAGCCGTGTGGCACAACCCCACAAACACAGCAGAGAGAGCCGTGTGGCACAACCCCACAAACACAGTAGAGAGAGCCGTGTGACACCACCCCACAAACACAGCACAGAGAGCCGTGTGGCACAACCCCACAAACACAGCAGAGAGAGCCGTGTGGCACAACCCCACAAACACAGCAGAGAGAGCCGTGTGGCACAACCCCACAAACACAGTAGAGAGAGCCGTGTGACACCACCCCACAAACACAGCACAGAGAGCCGTGTGGCACAACCCCACAAACACAGCAGAGAGAGCCGTGTGGCACAACCCCACAAACACAGCACAGAGAGCCGTGTGGCACAACCCCACAAACACAGTAGAGAGAGCCGTGTGACACCACCCCACAAACACAGCACAGAGAGCCGTGTGATACAACCCCACAAACACAGCAGAGAGAGCCGTGTGGCACAACCCCACAAACACAGCAGAGAGAGCCGTGTGGCACAACCCCACAAACACAGCACAGAGAGCCGTGTGGCACAACCCCACAAACACAGTAGAGAGAGCCGTGTGACACCACCCCACAAACACAGCACAGAGAGCCGTGTGACACAACCCCACAAACACAGCGGAGAGAGCCGTGTGGCACAACCCCACAAACACAGCAGAGAGAGCCGTGTGGCACAACCCCACAAACACAGCAGAGAGAGCCGTGTGGCACAACCCCACAAACACAGCGGAGAGAGCCGTGTGACACAACCCCACAAACACAGCAGAGAGAGCCGTGTGGCACAACCCCACAAACACCGCAGAGAGAGCCGTGTGGCACAACCCCACAAACACAGCGGAGAGAGCCGTGTGGCACAACCCCACAAACACAGCACAGAGAGCCGTGTGGCACAACCCCACAAACACAGCAGAGAGAGCCGTGTGGCACAACCCCACAAACACAGCGGAGAGAGCCGTGTGGCACAACCCCACAAACACAGCACAGAGAGCCGTGTGACACAACCCCACAAACACAGCAGAGAGAGCCGTGTGGCACAACCCCACAAACACAGCGGAGAGAGCCGTGTGGCACAACCCCACAAACACAGCACAGAGAGCCGTGTGGCACAACCCCACAAACACAGCGGAGAGAGCCGTGTGACACAACCCCACAAACACAGCAGAGAGAGCCGTGTGACACAACCCCACAAACACAGCACAGAGAGCCGTGTGACACAACCCCACAAACACAGCAGAGAGAGCCGTGTGACACAACCCCACAAACACAGCGGAGAGAGCCGTGTGGCACAACCACACAAACACAGCGGAGAGAGCCGTGTGGCACAACCCCACAAACACAGCACAGAGAGCCGTGTGACACCACCCCACAAACACAGCACAGAGAGCCGTGTGACACAACCCCA